CAAAAGACTAGGGGGTCTCACTCTTTTTTCAGCGTTCTCCGGTAGATTTTCATTATATATTTTGAATACCAAACTGGCACTTTGAGCCTCCATAAAAATCAAAGACGAAAATTTTACCCTAATTCCTTTTGATGTCAGTCATATCTATATATTAACTAATGATATGCATAATATTATTAAGATTGAGAGATCAGGAATATCCAGGAAACGCCCTGTGCCCCTTTCTTGAATTTTTGACGATTTTTATTTGAAAAGTGACACTTTAAGCCCTTCGTACATATCGATAATGACATCATTTTGGGAATTCTTTTTGATAGCAATTATATATATAAGAAGTCAACAAGAATATCAAATTTTATGGATATCAAAAGACCAGGGGTCTCACTCTTTTTTCAGCGTTCTCCGGTAGGTTTTCACTATATATTTTGAATACCAAACTGGCACTTTGAGCCCTCCAAAAACATCGAAGACGAAAAGTTTACCCTTATTCCTTTTGATGTCATTCATATCTATATATTAACTAATTATATGCATAATATTATTAAGATTGAGAGATCAGGCATATCCAGGAAACGCTCTTTGCCCCTTTTCTTGAATTTTTGACGATTTTTATTTGAAAAGTGACACTTTAAGCCCTCCGTACATATCGATAATGACATCATTTTGGGAATTCTTTTTGATAGCAATTATGTATATAAGAAGTCAACAAGAATATCAAATTTTATGGATATCAACAGACCAGGGGATCTCACTCTTTTTTCAGCGTTCACCGGTAGGTTTTCACTATATATTTTGAATACCAAACTGGCACTTTGAGCCCTCCAAAAACATCGAAGACGAAAAGTTCACCCTAATTCCTTTTAATGTCATTCATATTTATAAATTAACTAATTATATGCATAATATTATTAAGATTGAGAGATCAGGAAGATCTAGCAAACGCCCTGTGCCCCTTTTCTTGAATTTTTGACGATTTTTATATCAAAAGTGACACTTTAAGCCCTCCGTACATATCGAAGATGACATCATTCTGGGAATTCCTTTTGATAGCAATTATATATATAAAAATTCTACACGATTATTAAATTTTATGGATATCGAAAGACCAGGGGGTCTCACTCTTTTTTCAGCGTTCTCCGGTAGGTTTTCATTATAAATTTTGAATACCAAAATGGCACTTTGAGCCCTCCAAAAACATCGAAGACGAAAAGTTTACCCTTATTCCTTTTGATGTCATTCATATCTATATATTAACTAATTATATGCATAATATTATTAAGATTGAGAGATCGGGAATATCCAGGAAACGCCCTTTGCCCCTTTTCTTGAATTTTTGACGATTTTTATTTGAAAAGTGACACTTTAAGCCCTCCGTACATATCGATAATGACATCATTTTGGGAATTCTTTTTGATAGCAATTATATATATAAGAAGTCAACAAGAATATCAAATTTTATGGATATCAAAAGACCAGGGGGGTCTCACTCTTTTTTCAGCGT